TAATGAAAAATTGAGACAGCTGCTCGAAGTTTATACAAAGCCGTCCTTCCCACAATGGCATTATATTCATTTTTAAGATCCATGACCTTGAACGTCTCCATGATAACTTTGGAGGCCTGTCCGGGAGTCCCAAATCTGATTGGCATGGTTATTTCTCCGAGAGTTGGTGTAATTGTTCCATTAAAGCCTTGTACTTGATCTTTACAGGGCTTTAACTCAGTTGGATCAATTCCCATTTGTTCAAACGTTCGAAGCATTAAAATGCTTGAATATGCCCCTGTATCGACCATTATCCGATGCACCGGTATTCCACAAATTGGTGCTGTGATCACAAGAGGATCAGAATGTGGGTGAGCGAAATAAATAGCATCGTCTACATTGAAAGTAATCGGACAATTATTTCGGACGTTGATCCTGTCTCGGAGATCGGTTGTTATAACAGTTTTTCCCGAGTTGTAAGCTTGTCGAGCATAAGCTTTTATTTGTCGACGTGACTCGAAGGTTTTGCCATTACTATTATTAACTCGGGGAACATCACAAAAACCAGGAGGTTTAGAACAACTCTTTCGTGGAGTTTCTTCGGTTTTTGTTGTGGATGAAGATCCATTCTCCTTCGAGTCCATCATATAGACTTCTTATCGCCTTGTCTAATACGTTTTGGATTGATTGGACGATCATCGTCTTCATCGTCATCTTGGGGTTCTGGTATTTTACCCTTTCGCTTATAATCTGCATTCTTAGAAAACCTTTGGACTTGTGGGCGTCCAATAAGCCGTAGTAAGGCAGAGAGTAAACCCAAACATTCATCTGTATCATGTCCCGCCGACTTGTGATATGAACAATATTTCGTTTTATCGAGTTTCTCTTCTGGAGTTCTCACAGGTCGAGGACCGGGAAGAATTCCCTTTCCTTTTAATTCTTCAAAAATAACAGCGGCCCCAGCTGAGAAAACTGTCTGATAGCTAGATTTAACTTCTATGAGATATTTGGCTCTAGCTTCTTGTACTTCAGGTTTTTTAGAATTCCCGAACCGAGATTGATTTGATTTAAAGAACTTATTCTTCTTCTTTTTTGACTCTTGTTCTACTTCTGACTTGTTGGGGAAAAGGTCAAAAGTTGGTACCGACATCGACTCTTCCGCTATAATGTGTTGTTGAGCTCGTGCCAAGAAGTCTTGAAACGAAGTCGGTTTATTTTGATATATACTCCAACGAAACAAAGAGTTCGGCTTTAATCCGGCTATGGCCATGACCAGCAACGTTTCAGGATGACATTGCTCCATATTTTGTATTCGTTCATTAAACCGAGTAATATAATCTTTAACGCTCTCATTGTCCTTTTGAACGTTATTAGCAATGGATTCTTTGGGAATTAAAGAGACCCGAGCTCCGATAAAATGAGAACGGAAAGTTGTTCTCAGTTGTTGCCACTTCGATATTGAATGTCGAGGTAAAGAATGGTACCATTTTTTAGCACGAGGCCCCAAAGTTAAAAAAAACATCCGACATCTGAGCGCGTCGGTTGCCCCATGAAGATCCATCCATGAGGTATATTGACCGAGATGTGCATCCGGATCCGAGGTTCCGTCATATAGACCAATCTGAGGGACTTTAACTTTGGTAGGAAGTGGCTCCATTGTCAAATGAAGAGCTAAGGGAGTTTCGGCTTCCAAATAAACATTTTCCAGGAGAGAGCCCCTTCGTTGGGATTCTTCAGGAATGTCGTGCCGAGTCTCCAACTCGGCAATTCTCTTCCTCAACATTTCCAAATCTTCTGACTCACGCCTTAAACGATTTCTTTCAATAGTATGATGTAATTCATTGTTTTCACGTCGGAATCGATTTCGTTCAATCGTATGACGTAAATCAGATTGTTGGTCGAACTGTGAAGTTTCTGGTGATGAACGTGCCAACGGTTGTTGACGACGTCCAGAATGACTTTCAGCAGTTACTTCTTGTTGAACTGCTTCGGGAACATGACTATGAACAGGAATTACTCCACGATTATGAGTGGTAGTATTTCGTTGTGATTCAGGTATTCATGGATGAGAAGTTGCATGTGATGCAGCAGGAATATCATGTCGTTGAACAAATGATGCTTGCTGCCTAATTGGAAGATTTGAAGCAGGAACTTGATTTGGAATCGTCACTGTTGGTCCTTCTCTTGTCTGTGCCATAAAATTCGATAAATTTCTAAGGAAATCCGGGTCTTGAAATAAAACAGAGTAATCTATTGGCATAGATGGCACCGTCGAATTTTCAGTTGTACGCGCAGGGTGACGATTAGTTCCAGCTTCCGGATTTCGTTCTTGTCGCCCAGAACTCGACATCATAAATTATGCGTGTTTGTAAATATTGATTATATTCACATACAATCGAGCGAAGATTAAGAAGAGCGAAGATTAAGAAGAGCAGCTAGCCCTTCCTCTAGCGCCAAACTGTTGTTGTATGAAATTAACAACGTAAAATTATTAACAGCTGAGTGTGTTTAAACAAAGATTAATGTAAAATTGGATTTTATTTGATATATTCACAAGAGTACAGGAGTCGGTTTTTTTATTCTTAACCGAGATCATCTCAAGCCCATGTACAATGTGTTGGAAAAAGAAGGGAAAAGATCCTCGTACTATCATAAATTCTGCTATTTATAGTACGGTAGTTTTTGTCTTTTTGTTTGAAATGGATAAGAACGTATTTAATGTTGAGTTGCTTCACTTTAAGCGGTGGGAAACATCAATGATTGCTCTTTTATTTTGATGGTCCAATCAGGTGCTTTCAGCTTGTTTTACGTTTGGATATTTGAACTTTGTGGTAATCGGTTTGAATAGAGAAGCTTTGATATGACTGGCCATGATGTTTGATGAAGTCGGTCACTTGTCTTCGATACATAGTCGGTTCTTTTCCCTTGGTTATCCCGGAAGTCGGTATATTTCGACAAATACTGACTTTTCTTAAGATCTTTGTCTTTTTCTGATGGATTTACTCCAATGGCACAATTAATCACCAATAACCAAGTCGGTTTATCAACAAGTGCGAAAACATGTCGCATAACATAAAATATGCGACGTTGGATTTGGATATTCGATTCTTGAATATATGAAAACTTCTTGCATATGGTAAATAATACGGTGGATTTGGATATGCGAGTCGTAAACTATGCAAAAACATGTCGCAAAACATAAAATATGCGACATTGGATTTGAATACGCGATAACATAATATGCGTACGTGTTTCGCATAATTGTTAACTATGCGTCCGATTTGAATATGTGAAACACAAATTATGCGAACACTTGTCGCATAATCGTACAATACGCGGCTATCAATTTGAATATATGCGATAATTATATAGGCGAAATAAATTCGCATAACAATAATTATGCAGTGGATTTGGATATGCGTTAGCATATATACAATAAAGTCTCGCATAATCTATATATATGATTGTTGGCAAGCTTCATTTAATTTTATTCAGCCTTCAATTAATATTAATATGAGTTCATTTAATGAAAATATGTTGCATTTAATAAAAAAATTGATGACCATCCAAAACCCGTTACAACATATTTTTTTCCTTTTAATTTATTCTATACAATCATCCACCTATTTTTTACTTTATTTTGGATTTGTAACGGTTGCATGCAATTACCACTTTTTATTTCTCTATATTTGGATAATACAACTGTTGCATAGTAACAAGATAATGCGTAAACCCTTAAATTTGAATGGATAAAAATATTTTTTTAATTTATATGTTGGCTATTCACATGCAAAAGAAGTATTAAGTATTGATATGCGATAGATACAACGCAACATATATATAAGAAAAGTCATCTTTTGTAATGGAGATCTTTAAACCAGACCATTCAAATTCAAATTTTTCATGCAAGATTATACACTACATTAGTTGAATTTAATGAAAAATAATTATCCATTTTATTTTATATAATAAATATAGTGATGAATTTGAATACTTTTATGATGTTCATTTTTACTAACGACAAAATTTTTAAAATGTGATACTATTATTTAACTTTTAATTTTACAATTATACACATACACGTAACTTATAAGTTATAATCATTTAAATTTTTGTGCATGTGCACGGGATCAAATACTAGTTGTTAGTTATGTAGTTTATTTAGATATGCGATTTTTATCTCATATATATAGTTTCATGAATATTGGGGTGAAAAAAGAAGTATTTTGACGAGACAGTGTGTAAAAGAAAATGCCGTATATAGTGGTGTGTAAAAAAAATTCACCCATGTTATGAAATTATAAAATAATGTATGTGAATGACTATTTTGCCCTCGATGTATTTGTATTATTATGAGTTGTTCCATCAGAAGTTTCCTATAAATAGGAGCTTCAGTTATAATGAAAATTGTACCAAGAGAAACATTTTCTCTATTCTCTCTCTTTTCCCTCTAGTTTTATAACACGTTATCAGCACGAGTCTCTGCCCTCTAGAGCTTGATTTGTAATATGACGAGAGTATGCTCTACAGTTGCGTCTTATAGACGATCTTCTGTATCAGAAATTAGATTATTATAAATCATTATTCCTTGAATTCCTTTTCAAGATTTCTTTAAGTTTTTCCTTCTTCCCATTCATAATTTTATCTTCGGATTGAAATTTACACTAACCTTTCTGTGACTTTCTCGATCATTTCAATCCTGACGAGTATTGCCACATTATACAGTCATGGTTTTGGTGGGCAAGTAACTGGTTTATGATAGGCCAATAACTATGATTTACCGGTGGCCAATTGTCGGCCTAGTGGCTTTCATTGTGAGCCTATCTCTGCCAGAGATTTACTCAGCTTACCCAACTTCAAATGGGCTGTATATGGAGCTCAAATCTTGGTTGTAATTATGGCTCAATGACTGCCGAATATAAGCCCATCACTCACGGCCGTCGGGCCATTGAGAAGTCGCCCCTGGCCACTGATCTCATTCACAGTGTCTATGTGTGGATAAGGTTGAAAAGAAAGAGAAAATGGAAGTGAAAGTGCTTTTGGATATATGTGTCGTGGGTAAAAAATTAGTTGAAGGCGGAAGAACTGTACCAAGATATGGATTCGTGTCTATGGAAAAGGGGGTCATCCAGAGTTCTCTTCCACGCTAATTCTCCAAAACATTACAAGTACATCTTCTCTCTCTCACACACATTTGATCATTAATAATTAATAATTATCATGCTATCCGATTATTGGTGCCTGAAATTATTGTTGAGTGCCAGCTTGCATGTTGAAAAATTGGGGCTAGCTAGTTTTGGTGCATGTCGTTTTGTGCCCCATCAATATATTTTCATAAAACTCAAGGTGGTGTAGGGTAAGGTGATCAAGTTGAAGTATATTTATACACACTCACTCTGTTAGTATAGATTTAGTATTTTCTAATCATAAAGTTCATCAACATTATCAACTTAGGTATATAATTCATTTTCCTACGCATGTTGCCATGAGTATTGATATTAATCTGGGAATCCTCCTCAAACTGTTGGCAGGAGATAATATATGGTAGGTAGGTCATATATTTTTATTGCATTAGAAGGAAAACAAACTTCGTGGAGAATAAAGTTAATTAATTATGTGTGTTGTATGCGAAAATGAAATAAATGGATAAGAAAGAGATATGTTCATTTTAAGACCAATATTGATATGGTTTATTATTATACATCAAATATATTATCATTATGAAATGCTTGAATTTTGTTATTGTGAAAATTATTTATATGAACATGTGGATATTTATGGATTGACCCATGTGATATGAAAATAAATATGTATGGCTACATAGACAGGCCAGCGCGGCGCTGCCGCCGGCAGGTGATATTTAATGGTAGCCGACGGGTCAACTGTTGAAATATGAAAAATCATGTGAAATAGCCGAGCAGTGTATCCACCGAAATAAGATTTGAACAACTAAGTGAACCGGTTAGTGTACTGAATAATGAGGACCGGTGATGGTCAGATGATAAGTGTATGGCCAAATGATAAGCGTATTTATTAATGATAGTTGGTGATATGGAATGGCCAGGTGGCAAGGCCACGTGCAACAAAATATGAAGGGTTATATATATACATGTGCCGGCCAGTGCGGCTCTGCCGCCGGCGACGGACAGTACTAATAAGTGATAGCCGATGAGTGATATTAATGACACTTTGTATCTGGCCATGTGAAAGTTAATTAAAAATTCCTGTCGTGAACGGACATTATATGGACTAAACTGATCCTGAAGGAACAGTTGATAAATCCTCCAAATTTATTGATGGAGAAACGAATATTGATGAAGTAGTACCAGAAGTTACTACTTAATGATTAAATGATATTTGGTATATTGGTACTGAAAGCTACCACATTATGATTAAACAAAGTGATGAAATGGTACCAGAAGCTACCATTGGATGATTGAACAAAATGAGAAAATGGTACTAAAAGTTACCAGTTATGGGTGATCACACGAAATGATTTCTCAATATATTATACGAGTCTAAGGGACGGTCAAATGACGAAATCACATTGAGACTCGAGATCATATAGATATTACAATGAAGTGCTCCAGAAGAAGCACATATGATAATGATTGTAGTCATGAAGTACTACAAACTTGTCTTGAAGAAAAGTGAATTGATATCTATCTATTTCTCTTATCTATAAAAAGAAAGGTACTACCTATCTATTTGACACGTGTCCCTTAAATTTGGTGAGGCCACGTCTCCTTTTCTAAAAACGACGCCGTATCCAGGCCGAAACGAGGCTGTTCAGATTAAGGGAATAATGTTGGCGATTTTTTTTACTCTGTTTTTCCTCTAAATTTTCGGCCGGTTCTCCTTGAGAGAAAAATCTCAAAATTTCTCTCTTTTTTTTTTCTTCTCTTCTTAATCTTTTGGCACCGATCTTATTGGGTTTGTTGATGTTTAGATATGTTTCAATGTGTTAATTTATTAGCGTTTTCAAGTTCTCTAAATCTTTTCCGTTCCTTTAGTCTCTCTTTTCGCGTGCCTGCGATTTGTATGAAAAAAATTCATTTGTTTTTGTTTTTATTTTTGTATTTCCTTCAATTTAGGTTCCGATTTAAGTCGTGGCTTATTAAATTGTGTGGTTAATTTTATATGCTATTGATAATATGGTGTTCGTCTTCAAAGGTAAAAACCTCTTATGTCTTTCATTTATTTTTTGGGTTGGACATTCAGTTATAATTGTATTATTATTATATATATTTTTTTTGTGGGGATTTGGTTATTTTTGAGGCATTTGATTGGATTTCTGATATGTTTGGGGCTAACGGTGATGAGCTTGACGGAAAAGACATTTTTTTCAGGTAATTTGTTCATTATTTTCTTGTGGTTTAGTGATGATGGAGTTGTACCCTACCAAACGCCGCTCTCCTCAAATTCTTCCGTGATGTCCCGTCTCAAGATGACAATGGCCAGGTCCTCCCCATCAACAGCCTCTGGAATACCGCTATGGCCCACCTGAACGACCCCGAGTTCACTGACCTCAGGAATCTCCAACTGCAAGTCGGCCCTCATTTGCAGGGGCCTCCGAAACCACCGCTGGCTAGCCCGTGACCAAAACACCTATATCACTTACTATGCTGCTCACATAATCGGCTCCTAGACAATGAACTTCGAGACGTTTTCCCAGGCTGGTGTCCAGGCTGGCGTTGTTCCCCCTCTAATCAAGCTTTTTCGCGGTCGACTCACATGGGTCGAGCAGCGCATGTCTGTGTGGGTCCTCGGCCACCTGGCCACCTATGCCATCACCTTCCCGGCCGTAGCTGCCCACACAGAGGTCGACATGGAGACGTGGAAGTCACTTTTATGTGACCCGTGCTCGGATAGTGGTGGTTTAATTTGCTTGGGTGGTCTTCGTGAGCGATATGCTCAATTTATTCACTTTTAAAATTCTACGCCATTTTTTCCTACATTTATGTTTATTTCTAGCGTTTTTCCTTTTGAAATTATAGTAAAATGTTTTCACTGGGATGTTCTCGCCACAAGCAATAATTTTTTTTTTCTTGACGCATGGTGGATGTTGTCACAGTAAAAAATAGTCGTTATAATTTTGTGTTGGTCATTACGTATAAGTTGCGAGTTTTGAATGAAAATTCATGATGTGTTCGAAATTCTAACTGGTTATATTATGATTAGACAGGGGCTAGAAAATTGTAATAGGAAAACGATAAATTATTAGAGCAAATGTTCATTCCTTTAAGTGGTTATATGTCTTCATTGAGCAAGTGCCTGGAATTTGGTTTTAATTTTTAAATGCATAATTTAATTATAGATATTGATGTTGCAGCAACAAAAGTGTATGACAGGAGATCAATGAACTACTTGATCCAGCATTGCGTATTCTTGAATTTTTTGTGTGTATGATCGTTCTCAGAAGTATAATATCCTCAAACCTGAACAGGTCAATTCTTTCCTTATTCATTAAATAATTTACTCATACTTATTTCTGCTTGGGATTTGTGTGATCTTTGAATTAGCATTATTTTTCAATTTATTGTCTTGATCTGTACAGAATTATAGACGGGTTTATCTTAGGCTCAAGAAATGGTAATACACTTCAAACTACATTATTTGTGTAGTATTTGTGTAGTAGGCAGTTGAATAAGATTATCTTGTTTATTGATTTCCCCTCATTTTTAGGAATGATTTATTTAGGTATTTTGTTTGCATGTTTAATTCAACTTTACGGATTTAGTTTTGTTAATCTTTCATTGGTATATATATTGAATCATTGGTTATTGTTATTGTTATTTCTTTCATTGGTATATATATTGAATCATTGGTTATTGTTTCCATCTTTATGATGATTACTACATATAATAGTTATTGGATATTTATTTATCAATTCGTGGGGATGTGTTTATGTTACCTGTGGGAGAGTATAACCAACTATTCTCACTATTCACCTGAAGGTAATCTGTGCATGAATCTGAATAGGCTAAGAAGGATGAGTGCTCAACTTTTTAAGAAACTTCTATGAAATTCTTAACCATTATCTCTCTCTCTCAGATAGTTAATCATTGATTTAGAAAAGATCCATGTTATATAGTTGATACTTCCCCAGGTTTAAATAGTTATATAATTGTAACGGTGATTGTATGATAAAGTTAGACTTGGCTAGCAAATAACTTATGAAATGAGCAGCGTTGTCTTTTCTTAGTGATGGATTTGGTTTCCGGGTGAACCTTGTTATACATGTTGTTTTCTCTATTAGTGTGGATTCTTGTTTTCGAGACTGCCTAAAGGAAGTTCAAGAGGATAAATCAATAAGTTCTATCAACATGATAAAATTTCGGCGTAAAAGCTATAAAAAAATTTGCTCTTATTTTTGGACTTTGCTTGGTTTCGGTGAGATATCATTTTGGTAAATGAGATCTCTTAGAAATAGGAGATTACTGAAGAGCAGGTGATATGTATAAGTTGTTTAGGATGCTTGAAATTCATGAAAATAGCGTAAATATCTGCTTTTCTGTAGGCAAAAGGATATTATTTTTACCCAAACGTTTGTTTTTGGATTCAAAATTAAAGAGAGGATGCTATGTAAAAGCAACAGGACCACTACAATCTGCTGGAATGTGGTAAGTCATTTGTTTTCTTCATGTGGGTAATCAAAGTTGTATACTATATTTGATTTTCCTCTATGATAATGTCTTTTTAGTATCTCATGAATTTTGAGATTATGTAGATCAATGAAAATCATATATATTTACTTGGGTTTGACTTAGCATCTGTGGAAAAATAAACTCCACCACCAACCAATAATGTGCACTACAACTACCCAATATATTGTTATTATTATTGTTATCATCATTTGGATTTCTTTGAGTTGGGTCTGCAAGCATATTCTCTTCCTTGCATTTGTTTCGAAAATATACGCACTTCCTACTGGTGAGGCCACAAATCTAAATCTATAATGCATTTCTTTGATATTCTTTTTTTTTTTTTAATCAAATTTCTCTTTTATATTTATATATAACACTTATCTTATATCTATAATTCTTCTCTAATAAAAAAGAAGTGACTTCTTTCCTATCTGACACGTGTCCAATACATTTGGTGAGGCCACGTCTCTTGTGTTCAAAACGGGGCCGTATCGTATCAAGGAAAAAATGAAGCCCTTTCGGATTACGGAAAACAATGCCGTTTTGTATTCCTTTATTAGTCATTCGTCATCTAATTATTAGCATGGATTATCAGCAATTTTTTTTCCTCTTTCTGTTCTTCCCCTAAAATTTTTTGTTGATTCATTAAAATCGATTCTTCATAAAGAAACGTCTCAAAATTTCCGTTCTTTTATTCTTCTTAATCTTTTGGCACCGATCTTAGGTTGCTTTCAATATTCCGTCACATTTCATTAATTTTTTTTTTTGACATTTGTATTTGCATGGCGCCACTGCACATTGGGTTGGGCGATGCTTTAATCTGTTCCAATGCATGTCTTCATGAGTTTGTGAGATTTCTCTATCCTTTTATTTAAATTTATTTCAGATTATTTAACATTTTATGGTTGGCCTTTCATTTGTGGGGTTATATTTTCCCGTCAGTATCTGTTATATTTTTTTCCCTTCTTGGAAATTAAGGACATTAAGTCGGTCGACCTTCTGCTGGATACAAACAGTCAGGCAGATGCATACCGAATAAGGTGGATGGGACCCAGTGGGCGAGCCTACTCGAGCAGCTCCAGCACTGGAGGTTCAAAAGGTGAACAACACAGGTGTTAAAGAAAAATTTTTCTATTTAAAGTTATTGCATTTGGACATGGGATTACTTTTGCAGTGTTTAATAAAATGTTGTATGCTTCGATTGACGACAACCATTTTCGACCGTGGAGACACCGGATTACATTGCTCCGGTGGTCGTAGGAACAAGTTCGGATTTTGTAAAGGTTTGAATTGGATCATACTATCTTAATCAATAGATTTTTTTTTTTTTTCTAACTATTGTTAATTTCAGGTCAAAGTCTTCTTGCCTTGGTATTTATTTGCCTGTGGACTTAGGGTTTCATTGCCTTTTGATTTCTTTTTCCGTCTCTATTTTATTCATTTTTATTCATTTGGGTTGAATAATGGGCTCGGTTGAATAAGACATTTGAAGAAAATTGCGGTAAAACAAATTAGCTTTTGTGCTTCTTAAACTTACAACTTTTGAATAGCTCTGACGACCATACATTGACACTTGGACCTTTTAGATTTTGTTAGTTTAAAACCAAAAAATTTTAAACATCTACCCTCACGTAACATAGATGTTTAGAAATTATGTGGGAACTGTATTATCTATAGAGTGTTTGGTAGCACTTTTTATATATTGTAGTTGGTAATGGTTGTTTGAACATGTTTTGACATACTTTGGTCTGAATCCAAACAACAAAAATGTTGTGAATGTATAATGTATTTTCATAAGCAATCTATTTTACCAAAATGTATTATACTCATACTCGTAATAATAATACGTTAGAGGCGAGCAACTAAATTGGGCCGGCCGTGCTGTGCACGGCGAGAGCATCCTAGTTATTATTATTATTATTGAAGAACAAGTACAAAAAGTTCAGATGATGGAAATATGGATAGGAGGAAGTAAATCCTCAATAAATACAAAATACGCAAAGATAACATAATAGAACCCATGAGAGTGTAAAACTTCGTAACTCTGTCACCCATGAATGATATCTGGGTTCATAATGAGAGATCTAAAGGATCAAAAACTCTTTTTCGCTTAACTCCGTGTGTTTCCACAGAATCTTGAAATGTGATGCATTCTTGAAGTTTTTTGATAAGTTCAGCAGATTTAAATACTTCTCTCGTTGGAGGAGATATAAAGGATAGATATACTTCTATATCTAAAAATTCAAGCAAACCATGAAAGAAGTTATTAAAATTCAATATACCTATGGGCTTGTTATGAAGTTCCAATTCTACCCAAGAAGCAATGGTGAACATTGTCATTAGCGTTACATAACCGCCTGGAAGAATGATAAAAGCATCGCTATTGTTCACCATATCCATTACACAATCATAAATAGAATGAGTTAGCATCATTCTTGTGGAATCCTTGATGACCTTGGTTTAAGCTCTACGAAAAGGTATGATACTTTTCACTTCTATCTCAAAAAATTGTCCACCCATTAGAGACTATCAAAGAAAATATTGCTAGTCCCTCCATACAGCAAATTGATTTTTTTGTTTTTCCATCTCTTTTACTAACTGACTTACAATATCAATAGTTTGAGAAAAACTTACCAGTTTAGAACCACCAAGAACACACATGGTTTTGATCGATTGAAGAAAACTATTACCTTGCGAAGACTCTGAAACATCCATCTATTTATTGATAAACTGAATTTTTCAAAACTTTGTGAGGCATATGATTATGATGATCAACTTGCTATTTAAATAGAAAGCTTTACAAAACGATAAATATTTTTACTGTTTTCTTCTGACAATTACAACTGACAGATAAGGTGTTGGGTTTTAAATAAATCTTATTTGTCTGCAGCTATAAGTTTTTCTAAAAAATTACAGTGCAATATACTAAACTGTATTAGTATGATTTTTCATACTAACAAGATCAGTTTTACAAACTTAATCTTTTGAAATAATATTTTCGAGACTATAACGTTCTTCTTCACTCTTGAACTGAGTCCATAAAGACAAAAGCTCACGATGCACATACCCACTAGGATGTGTCTCAAGAATCTGTTGAATCGTTTGATCCAGAGACTCCTTACTCAATCCATCCTTTATAATTGTTATTTTATCTTCTCGATTTCTGGACACGTACCCCACAGATTTACATCGTGTGTCACAAGTCCATCGAGCGCATTTGAAGCATCCACCTAATCTTTTTGCTCTTCGTTTCTTTGCAAAAGTACTTTTACCCATACCTGGCATATATTTATATGAATTTGGAAACTCACAGGATAATCGAACTTGTGCTTCGATCAACCATCGAACATCACTTGGAATACCATTATTCATTAGCACCCTCAATCTTTCTAATCGAGATCGATAAATTCTTTTTATGATGATATTTTTTGGAAGAAAAGAATAATATTTACGGATAATTGAGAGTGCTAAATCCATTTGTATATTCGGACCTTTGTGAAGGAAAATTGAAGGAATTTACCTGATAATTTATAGAAAAACATGATATGTATGCGATACGACTCTGGACTTAAACAGTGTTCAAAAGTATGTGTGTCAGACGGCATGATACGATTCTGGATTTAAACAGTGTCACAATGAATTATTGTGATCACTTTAAAATGTTTACTGGTATAAATCATGATGATGGTTTGCATGATTAACAAATTATTTGTGATATGAGATGCTTCGTTCTCGATTGGTAAAAAGTTATTACTAGCTAAATATTTATGTAATCGATGTTTGATCAATCTGAGTATTAAAGGGGTACGATATATATGGGCCCACTACCCCTCCATGTGTGCTTAACCACATGTGCGTGATTCGTAACCTGAAGTTACGAGATGATTTGATCAAATAATGGATATATGACACGTAACCTAAAGTTATGAGATGATTTGATCAAGTAATGGATATATGACACGTAACCTGAAGTTACGAGATGATTTGATCAAAGAATGTGTATATGACACGTAACCTAAAGTTACGAGATGATTTGATCACAGAATGTGTATATGACACGTAACCTGAAGTTACGAGATGGTTTGATCAAAGAATGACACAAGATGATTATGAAAGAATGAAAATAAGTGTCATATGAAAGTGATGAACCTAGTAATATACTCAGCTGATATGATGAACTCTTTAAAGAAAAATGTGCACATTACAAATGATATGAGTTCAAAGTCCTTCAAATATATGTTGAAATCGAGAACAAAATGGAGACTATATGAACTCCCCTCAAGAAATTCAATACTGAAAATACAGATCATGGATCTATTATGATGAGGGGGAGAATCAATGATTGAAATTTGGAAATGATATATGCATCACACTAAAAGTGTGCAAAACATAAACTGAATGATACTGATGGTGGTGAAATATGAAAGAGGGCATATATATACTATTGATGAAATCAATTGATAATGAGATATCTCAATAAATTACGGGGAATAATGGAAATGAATAAGTGTCGACACAAATAAATGAATAGCACTATATAAATGATATTGACGATGATGAAATCAGCTGAAATGTGAATATTGGGAACTATTGGCAGTAAGACCATTGAAATCAATTGATGATGAGTTTAAGAATAAAAGTTGCACAAAGCATGATATGGCATATTATCATGAATACCATCAGTATCTGAAAATTTGAACGAATTTATATGATACTCATGCATATTATGGAAAGATTATTATAATGAATATGTGGAATACGCGTTGTACTCTTTTCCCCTTGGCTGAAGTTTTGTCTCATTGAGTTTTTCTAGCAAGGTTTTTAATGAGGCAACATGGATGACGTATTCATATGAATAGTGTACTCTGTTTCCTTCATTAGGATTTTGTCCCACTGGATTTTTCCTAATAAAGTTTTAACGAGGCATATTCATTGTATAATGAGGACTAAAAGATAAATGATGTGATTCCTCATGATGATGAGAAGAGACTGGAGTAGCTGTACTCTTTTTTCTTCGATCAAGTTTTTTTCTACTGGGTTTTCTTGACAATGTTTTAATGAGGTTGGATACTCCACTAAAGATGATCTATTTGAGGGGGAGCAATGTTGTGCTTTCACAATGCTCAGGTTTTGTCTCACCGGGTTTTCCTGACATGTTGAAGCAACGGTATCTGATGGCCACAAGATACACTTCAAGATGTGCAGAATGGGCTTTGTATAAATTAGTTAAAATATGTTTAGAAAATAGTCATTCAAAGAGGAGTGTTATGAAATTATAAAATAATGTATGTGAATGACTATTTTGTCATCCGAAGTTTCCTATAAATAGGAGATTCAGTTATAATAAGAGAATGTGGATGAACCACATTCTACTCTACATTATAGACATTAATTATGTCAACATCATTACAGCATTTATGATCACATTGTATATTAAAGATAAAAAAATAATGAATTTATTAAATGTGTTGACGTGGAATGCAATTTACATCATTGAAGATGCTCTGAGTCGCCCATATCCCATACGTATCCGTTGATAAATCAGTGCAGACGTATATACAGACAGCAATCTTTCTTCACTACTTATTACCCATTCCGAATTCCAATCTCTTTGCTGAGAATTTTCTCCATCCTTTTCATTTTTCATCTTTATTATTAAGCCTCTATTTCAACAAAGCTCGCCTTGTCAACTGCCACTTTTGAAGGTACAATTTCTCCTCTTTCGTTATCTTACGTTTTTCATCCGAACTTCACTGGTGTTTGACCTTCTACAGATCTGTTTGGGTTCATTTCAATTTCTTAGTGGGTTACCAGATCGACCCCGTTTTTCTTTCCTTGTTTCTTTTCTCTTTTTACGTGTTCCTCGTAAGCTGAATTCTCGCTACCAAATGCTTCTTTGTTTCGATCTTTCTGATCTAAATTTTTTAATATTCTCGGTGAACTATAGCTGCTTTTAAGCGGTTTGTTATATGCTATGAACACGTTTTGGATTTTAATTATATGACAGACTTGCTCGCCAGTTTCTATAATTTTTTCTAATAACGAATCGGTATTTGTGCTTTTCTTGTTATTGCAACTGCAAGTGACTAAATGGATCTTGGTTTCATATAAAATCAGGTTTAGATTTTCCTATTTCGTCCCATATTGCCTTCCTCTCGGTGCTGCTATTTTAAAATTTTTGAAAGAATGTAACTTTTAGCTTGAACCCGCAGCATGGTTAATTTTTTAGTTCATTAAAAGCCAAAGCTTTTATGTGTTTTTCTAGCTACCTAATCACTTTAGAGCTTGAAGAAACTTTTTTTTTTTAATTGTCCTTAATGAATACTCCTCAAGATCTTGAAGTGTTCATATGATTGGCAATTTTTCTCTCTTATGCGGAGTAGTTGGTTGTCTTGGCAGGTTAGGTTGGTGAGTCGGTAGGTGAGCTCAATCATTGCATCTTGGAAAGGACTGCATATGCTGGTCTTTTTCATTTTTAATTAATCTTTTTAGCGAAAGGAATATGTCCATATGGGATTGAACAAACTCTACCAAGTTTAATACTGGATCTAATTTGATGAAACATCAATTTGTAGCGAGATGCTACTTTACTTTATATTAGTAGCTTCTCTATTTATGTGACTTGAATTATTTTTTGTACTTAGAAGATGAATTTAAGTTGTCTTATTTTTACAAGTACATCCCTGTCCCATTTTCTATAATATTGTTGATCTAAATCAACACTTTATTATGATTGTTATTGAATAATTAGTAGTTAATCAATAGGGTTCTGCTGCTGATTTGAGATATTGTGGCCTACACCATAGATTTTTAGCCCTTGAATATATTGGTCGTACTGTAATCGCTGCATTTAGTCTAGGTCGTGGAAAGTTTAAAGTTTTAGTTATTTGCAGTTACTCCTATTCTTACTGCAGATTATTGTAATAAAAGAAAAAACATGGAAGTCAGGGGAGGTTAAAAGCTGTAATTTTATGGCCTTGTCAGGTATTATCTTGTTTCCTTTATCTGTCTGATTCTTGATTGATTTTTTGTTATCTTTTGTATTAAGTGTCTTTGTTATATGGGCTTCCTAGAAATTGTAGGTACATGGGCAATGGTTGAGGTGAAAAACACTTCCGCAAAAGCAGTATTTATTATAAGCCTAGCTGGACCGAAGAAGCTGACTTATAGCAGTATCAATAGAAGTGGTATGGAATTTGAATCTGATTGGACAAAGCATAGAAAACTATCGGCCTTCACTGTACAAGAAATCCATTTCGCGACATCTTTTATGCCTTGGTCTTGTAGAATTCCCATGGGCGAAGGCTTTCACGACTTCCTTTAATCATCTTCCGGAGTATTCTTGTATGCTTGTGTCCGACGCATTTGACTTGCTAACGGCACAAAATTCCTACCATCTGTGACTTCAAAATAATATGCCAAGACCTTTTTCTATAAAGAGAATCAAGGATTTATCAGAAATGTGTTTCACCGAAACCAGTCACCAAAATACCTCAAATGGTTTTACTTTAGTTTCTAAAGCTGCTGAAAATAAAAGTGGTTCAATCTCCATTTTTGAGGTACCCAGTGATTGTTATAACCCAATCTTGCCCGGATTGCCCGATGATGTGTCGAAGCTCTGCCTTGCTCTCGTCCCGCGATCTGATTTCCCTACCATGGGTGCTGTGTCTAAGAAATGGAGATCCTTCATCCAAAGCAAAGAGTTTACCACTGTACGAAAACTGGCTGGCATGCTTGAGGAATGGCTTTATGTACTGACTCTGGATGCTGAAGGGAAAGAGAGCCACTGGGAGGTTCTAGATTGTTTTGGAAACAAACACCGGCGACTTCCAGCAATGCCTGGGCCTGTTAAGGCGGGATTTAGCGTTGTTGCTCTCAATGGAAAGCTTCTCGTCATTGCTGGATATTCTGTTGTAGACGGGACTCGTTCTGTCTCGGCAGATGTTTACCAGTATGATCCATGTCTCAACAGGTTAACTCTCTTTCCCTCAGATATTCAGTTTTATTGCTTTTTTGAATTTGGGTTTTGGTTCTGGAATAACTCACGCTCGTGTTCCGTTAAATAGTTGAGACATCCGATAGCTGCAGTTGAGAACATATCCTCAAAATTGGATGGTCAAATAATTTCTCATCTCTTTTTAGTTGCATTTGCTCCATGTAGCCGTCCATCAATCAAACTTTATAACACTACACGACGAATAAAACATTTTGTATTGTTTTTTCTCCTTTTCTATTCAACTTTCTTTTTTGTTTTTTTTTTCAAATGATAGAAACTTTATAAAACTATAAACCACATAATTACAGCTAGAATAGCCAAGCAGCAGCCAGGCCGCTGAATCTAGGAGACCTATTCGGAGGTAGCCTTAAAGCAACTACACTAACGCACACACAACACAACAAACAAACAGAATAACACGCTCCCAACAGGAGAAAACTCACTCCCAAACATAA